TAAAGCTACATATTCCATACGCTAAAATAAACTTTTCTTAGAAAGCGAGTTTCTTCTAGTTCAAATCCATTTTTGAACTTCAAAGAAACCATTAACAGCCTTGAAAATTTGTTCGTAATTGCGTGGCTTGTGACAAAATATTGACGTATATAGCCCATTTTGGGGTTTTGTCCCACTCTCCATCTCTATACTCATCAGCTGCTGATGGAGGAAGCATGTTCAAGAAAGCTTTGATGATCCCCCCCCCCGGCGGTCTATTTTATAAGCGTGCACCGTTTCAATCAAAGCATAGGATGGAACAAAAGGGTATGAAAACACTTTTGTTGTGTGTAATGATTAATGATTATGAGCATCAAGGTTATTGATTCATTGGAAAATTCGGTGGGAGGCAACCTACCACACTTGGGGCTGCCATAAACACACCTTTGGTTGTTCTGTATCTTTTTACAGCCCTTCTGCAATCTCTTTTGAGCAATGGATACAGGTGATCTCTCATTTGTCAGATTTCTTTTATCTTTCAATTACTGCATAGCTGATGCTACACTGATCATTTATGATTTTTATATCGATCAGATAACTTAAATATTGTTTTGGGTATTTTTTAATGACAGCAGCCATGATGGGTAAAATAGTCTTGTTGCTGTTAATCTTCATAGCAACAGCTTCGAATGCATCGAAGAATATGCAGGCCTATATAGTTCACATGGACAAGACCATGATGACTACCTCAGATCAATCTCCAGGCAATTCCAAACAATGGTACGAATCGGTAATCGAGTCTATCACCGAACTCTCGAGTAAGAAGAAACGTGAGTCAGAAAAACCTGAATCTCCCCAGCTGATTCATGTTTACGAAAGAGCTATTTCTGGTTTTGCTGCAAAGCTTTCAACTAAGCAACTAGAATCACTGAAAGGACTCGATGGTTTCCTCTCTGCCACTACTGACGAAATGCTGTCTTTACACACTACACGCTCGCCTCAATTTCTCGGCCTAGAACCGGGAAAAGGACTCTGGAGTGCTTCATATTTGGAGTCTGATGTGATAATAGGTGTGGTGGATTCTGGAATCAGGCCAGAACATGTCAGTTTCAACTATGAAGGATTGCCTCCAGTGCCAATAAGATGGAAAGGTGCATGCGAGGAAGGCACAAAGTTCTTGCAATCAAATTGCAGTAGGAAACTCATTGGTGCCAGAGCCTTCTTCCAAGGCTACGAGGCTGCTGTTGGCAGAATCAACGGAACAAAAGATTATAGATCCGCGAGAGATGCCGAAGGCCACGGAACACATACAGCATCAACTGCAGCTGGTAACCTTGTATCGAACGCAAGCATATAAAGCATGCTGGTCTCGAGGTTGTGTTAGCTCTGATGTACTGTCAGCCATAGACCAAGCCATTGCCGATGGTGTTGATGTGTTGTCACTCTCTTTAGGAGGTTCCGATAAGCCTTATTATAGTGATAACATCGCAATAGGTTCCTTTCATGCGATCAAGAATGGGGTTTTCGTTTCATGTTCTGCTGGCAATTCAGGCCCATCAAGCTCAATCGTTTCCAATACATCGCCATGGATTATGACCATTGCTGCAAGCTACCTTGATCGGAGCTTCGAAACTACTGTCAAACTTGGAGACGGAGAAGCATTTGAGGGTTCATCTCTGTATGTTGGCAAGGCAACCAAGCAATTACGCCTTGTTTATGCAAACTCAGCTGGTGATATATCAGAATCATACTGTGTTGATGGCTCACTCAAGAAAAAGATTGTCAAAAACAAAATTGTAGTTTGCCAATGAGGAATCAATAGCCGAGCTGCAAATGGGGAGCAAGTAAAATTGGCTGGAGGTGCCGGAATGCTAATGATAAACACCGACAAAGAAGGCAAGGAACTTTTCGCAGATGCACACGTTTTACCAGAAACTTCATTAGGAGCCACTGCAGGCATTGTTGAAAGTCAAAAATGAATTTATCATATCGGCGGCTAATATGGGGGCGGCTAATATTAGTCTAAAATGGCTGCAAATTGTTGAAAATTAGTAAAGGTAAAATATTTAATTTAGTTACTTTAATTTTAGGGTATTTATAATATTAGTCCTTAGGTTTCAACTATAAATACCCTAGTTCATTGAGCTTCAAAACCATCCCAAAGCATTCTAGCTTTCTTCCAATACTAGAGAGAATTTAGAGAGTTTCTTGAGAGTTATTTTCTCCTTTTTATCGAGAGAGAATTATTATTGTTTTCTCCTTGGTAGATCGAGAGAGGTTGTAATTCCTATTTTCTCATAGTGAAATTTTTATACCGTTGCCCGTGGTTTTTACCCTATTTTATTTAGGGGTTTTCCACGTAAATTTTGTGTCTCTTTTTATCTTCATTTTTATTTTCTCAAATTATCAGTTGCAATTTTGCTCTATCCGATAACCGTCTTCCGCAACAGACAAGCCATCAAAAAGTACCTCAACTCTACTAAAGAACCAACTGTTTCAATTATATTCAAAGGAACAGTCTATGGAAAACCTGCACCATTGATGGCAGCGTCTCATCGAGAGGACCAAATGTGGTTGGACCAGACTTGATAAAACCAGATGTAACCGCACCGGAGATGAACATATTGGCAGCATGGCCACCCTTAACTAGCCCAACTCAGCTAAAGAGTGAAAAAAGGAGTGTTCTTGTTTCCGGCACTTCAATGTCTTGCCCACATGTAAGCGGCCTAGCAGCACTCCTCAAATCAGTGCACAAGGATTGGTCCCCTGCAGCTATCAAATCGGCTCTCATGACAACAGCTTACGTTCACGAGAATACTGGCAGACAAATCATCGATGTCGCTTTTACTAAAACTACTACGGCTACACCTTTCACCTTCGGTTCAGGTCATGTCGACCCGGAAAAGGCTTCGGACCCTGGTTTGATCTATGACATCATCCCAGAAGATTACCAAAACTATCCGTGCACCCTAAATTATTCAGCTCCCCAGATAGCCTTATTTGCAGGGAAGTACTCCACTTGCCCAAAGGATCAACCATGCAACCTGGCGACCTAAACTACCCTTCATTTGCAGTGAATTTCAAACGAAACAGCAAAACAAACAGTGTAACCTTCGAAAGGACCGTCACCCACGTCGGGATCCTCGATGTTACATACGAGGTACAAAAGAATGAACCGAATGGAGTGTCCATGGTGATCGAACCACATATTTTGAAGTTTGAAAAGCCAGGCCAGAAGCTTAGTTGTAAGATCACTTTCACACAAAACAAAGGATCAACAGTCCAAGACTCCTTTGGTATTTAGAATGGGTGTACTCTGATACGTACCATGTCAGAAGCTCCATTGCAGTGACTTGGACATAGTTATTAATGTTGAATTGTTAGGTTTGAATCTGGAAAAAAGAAGCCATTCAAATGAAATTTAGATTCTTTCTAATCATTCAAGTTCCAAGGAACTGTTCTCAAACAAAACAGTTAAAAGAATGATATTTGATTGTATCAACCATCAAAAAATATTAGATTCTTATATTTCATATTTTGCCACGGCAATATGAAAACCTTTAAAAGGTCTAATTATAGTTTTGGCCCCTCAATTATGTTAAAATCGGAATCCTTTTATTTCAATTTGACCCCTTTACTTCTATAATATTATTAATACGTCCCCTCAACTATGATATAGCACCGTCCATCGCTATTGTTTACAGCGAAGGGACTAAAACAATGATTAGACCTAAAAATATTGAATAGCTATAAATTTATTGTAATTTCCTCGCTTGACGGGGTAACATAAGTTCCGTGGTGGCTTCATTAGCTGTATTAACGCCCGGATTAGAAGTTAGTCCCGTCAATCTCTTGAACCCAAAACAACGTACACAAGTGGACCAACTGCCTACCGTTGGTTTACGGAGGGAAGAAGCTCAAAAGTCAACTGAAACATAAAAATCTCTGGTATATTTACCTAAAGGAAGCTTCTTTGAATGTTTTTTTTTTTTATTTCAAAAATATTTTCTCCAAAGGCTCTCTCTTTGGTTTTCCATTTGCGAGTGTTTTCTTTGAAGATTCACAGGAGGAGAGACTTCGGCATGCAAATACCAGTTTGAATCATATCTCTGCTCATTCGGATAAAAGAGATTTCATCTTGTTCCTGTTGTTCATTCTGGTTTATTGGGTTCTTTTCTCTTCCAATCAACATCCAGAAAAAGGAAACCTTTTCTCTTTTGCATTATATAGTGTATTTAGTTGTTGATGGATAAATACTCGCCCAGAAGGCAATATCCATATCCATACCCATATCCCAATGGATACCCTCCTACAAACCAAAATCCATATGTACATCCATCATATCAACAAGTTCCATACGCTTATCCAGCAGCAGTTCCATACCAAATCCCCCAAATCACCTTGCTCGCGCTATTCTCATTTTCGTTCTCGTTCTGGAGACATCCCTTTCCAGCATCAATACCCGGTTCCTCCAAATACAGCTCCTCAGCCAATTCTCCACCGTCATGGTAGTTTTCAGTATCCATCAGCTTTTCCTTATCAGCAACCCCAATCTGCTCAATGCTCGTCTCCTGAAAGTAATTCTCAAGTATCTTCCCCTTATATACAACCTGTCCTACATCCCACTGAAAGTAAGTCCGAATCACCTTCTGTACAAGGCAACTTCATCAGTCATAACAGACAGGGAACTGCAGGATCTTTAGGAGCAAATGTGGATTGTAATCCGTCTGCTGCTCCGAGTTATCCGCCGTTTGAAGAAGTTTTGTGTAATTTAACATTGTCTGATAGTCTTCCGACAGCTCCTGCATCACCAACGGCACCTTCAGTGCCTCCATTGTCCACTGCTACATCAACACCTGAACAACAAGGTTCAGTTAATGGAAATGTTACTTCAGGGATTTCGTATGGAAATCCTAAACACTCATATTCTAGGAGTTGGGATGGTGTGCCCTTTTTTAGCCGAACAGATTCGCGTGATCAACCTGTTTTATGCCATACGAGTTCAATGAAAGGAACAAAAAATAGAAATTTGCAGATTGTGTCCTGCCAGAAAAGTACATTGAAAGTTTTGCTCTTACACGGGAATTTAGATATTTGGGTTTGTGACGCGGTGAACCTCCCCAACATGGATATGTTCCATAGGACCTTAGGCGATATGTTTGTGATGATACCTGTAAATGTCACCAACATGATTGAAGGACGCACGAACCGTAAGGTTACAAGTGATCCTTATGTCACAATTGCAGTTGGTGATGCTGTTATCGGAAGGACTTATGTGATTAACAATACTGAAAACCCGTCTGGATGCAACATTTCTATGTTCCCGTGGCGCACTATGCCGCCGAAGTGCATTTTGTTGTTAAAGACAGTGATGTTGTGGGATCACAGTTGATCGGAATTGTGCGAATTCCAGTGGAGCAGATATACACGGGGGCAAGGGTAGAGGGAGCCTACCCATTTTGAATACTAGTGGAAGGCACTGTAAGCATGGAGCTTTCATGAGACTAGCAATTCAGTACATACCAATGAAAGAATTGAGCTTCTATCGCCATGGAGTCGGTGCAGGTCCAGACTACTTGGGGGTTCCTGGCACATATTTTCCTCTTAGGAAGGGAGGAAAGGTGATTCTTTATCAAGATGCCCATGTCCCTGATGGGTGCCTTCCGAATTTGAAACTTGACCAGGGGATTACCTATGTTCATGGGAAATGTTGGAGTGACATATTTGATGCTATTCATCAATCTAGGCACTTGATTTACATTACAGGGTGGTCAGTTTGGCACAAAGTTAAACTGGTCCGGGATGGTGGTCCTGCTACAAATTGCACTTTGGGGGATTTGCTCAGGTCCAAGTCCCAGGAAGGTGTTAGAGTGCTACTTCTGATATGGGATGATCCTACTTCAACAAGCATTTTGGGATACAAAATAGTGAGTAACTTATATCACAATATGTTATTTGCTTTGCAAAATATCTTCAGGGTTAACACTCAGCTATCTCCGATTAGGACTTTATTTCTTATTCTGGTTTTTACATTAACCTCAAATGTAGGATGGAATAATGCAAACCCATGATGAGGAAACACGACGGTTTTTCAAGCACTCTTCGGTACAAGTGTTACTTTGTCCGCGTTTAGCTGGAAAACGACATAGTTGGGTCAAGCAGAAGGTTAATTTGCTTATATATTTCATATTGCCTAAAAGTGACAATTTCTGGACTGCCTAAGTAGTGTTTTGCTAAAGCTTTACATATTCAAATTATCAGGAAACTGGGACAATTTATACACACCATCAGAAAACTGTAATTGTGGATGCTGATGCTGGAGAAAAATAGAAGAAAGATTATTGCTTTTGTTGGTGGCCTTGACTTATGTGGTGGGCGATATGATTCTCCACACCATCCTATATATAGGACACTACATACCTTTCATAAGGATGACTATTATAACCCTCCGTTACGTGATCAGGGTAGTGTTGTCGGTTGTCCAAGACAAGCATGGCATGACCTGCACTGCAAAATCGAAGGCCCCGCTGCATATGATGTTCTGATCAACTTTGAGGAACGATGGATGAAGGCTGCAAAGCCTGCTGGAACTAGAGTTAAGAAAACAAAAGTTGTATATGATGATGCTTTGCTGAAGATAGAAAGAATTCACGACATCATCGGAGTTTCTGATTTTCCCATCGCTAACGAGAATGACCCTGAAGCTTGGCATGTTCAGGTAATTTCGCTACACGAGGTCGGTTTTAGTGATAGATTAGTCGGTCAGGTAGGTGACGTGAAAGTAAGTCATTGCTTATACCTTCCTAGGCCAATGTGAGTTTCAAAAGAAATATTTCATTTCTACTTTTTAGTTTTCTGACAGCATTAATATTTTGATTTCGACAAGCAGATTTTTCGCTCAATTGATTCGAACTCTGTTAAAGGTTTCCCAAAGGATCCTAAAACAGCCACAAGCAAGGTAATCAAAAGTTTGAGATTGATTTACTTTTCTTGTCTCGATTAGCTTGTTTCGATTTCCTATTTAGAACCTGATTGATTGTCCTACAGAACTTGGTGTGCGGTAAAAATGTACTTATTGATATGAGCATACATACAGCATATGTGAAGGCCATTCGTGCTGCCCAGCATTTCATTTATATAGAAAATCAGTATTTCATTGGATCGTCCTTCAATTGGAGCTCTAACAAAGACTTAGGTAGGAGACTTAGTTTTGGTAGTGGCTATTACATATTGCTTCGGAAATTGCAGCTTTTCATACTTTCGATCTGAATGATAGTCATTCACTCTTTATACAGGAGCCAACAACTTAATTCCAATGGAAATTGCTCTCAAGATTGCCAGTAAAATCGCAGCACATGAGAGATTCTCTGCCTATATAGTTGTTCCAATGTATCCTGAGGGTGTTCCAACAGGCTCCGCCACTCAAAGGATTCTATTTTGGCAGGTAGGTTATTGCGGTTTCGCTATAAATTTGGCGTTAACATCGTTCGAGCTTTGACACAGTACTCATTTTTTTCATCCAAAGAGAAAAAAGTTGAACTTGAAATTTTCTTCTTGTTGCAGCATAAAACTATGCAAATGATGTATGAGACTATTTACAGGGCTTTGGTGGAGGCTGGACTAGAGAATGCTTTCGCACCACAGGACTTTTTGAATTTCTTCTGTCTCGGAAATCGCGAGGTTGAAGACTTTCAAAGCATTTCACCTCATAGCACTTCTTATGCGAATACTCCTCAGGTAATCCATACCATGTCCCTACGACCATTTTTTGGGGTACTACATTGTTAACACCATCAAAATACCAATTTCATGCATTCCAGGCTCTTATTCGGAAAAATCGAAGATTTATGGTCTATGTTCATTCAAAAGGTATGATAGTTGACGATGAATATGTAATAATTGGGTCTGCAAACATCAATCAACGCTCGATGGAGGGCACCAGGGACACCGAGATCGCAATGGGAGCTTACCAACCTCAACATACCTGGGCAAAAAAGCTTTCCAGTCCACATGGGCAGGTAAATTGCCCATCAGTAACATCGCATCGATTGAGAATTTTCCTCTGATTACTAACTTAGCCATATTGGTCATGGAAATGCAAACTTGGACGTTTAGTGTCTAACTTTGTGTTGTGCTTCATAGATATATGGATATAGGATGTCGCTGTGGGCGGAACATCTGGGAGTTATTGAGGAATGTTTCACACAACCGGAGCGTCTCGTATGCGTAAGACGGGTTAAGGACATAGCCGAGAAAAATTGGAAACAGTTCGCAGCTGATGAAATAACCGAGATGAGAGGACACTTGCTCAAGTACCCCGTTGACGTGGACCGGAAGGGTAAGGTCAGGCCCCTTCAGGGATGTGAAACTTTCCCAGATGTTGGAGGATACGTAGTTGGCTCATTTCTTGGCATACAAGAAAACCTTACAATTTGAACCTAGATGTTACATTCAAATCAAGTTGATACTAGGAGAAAAGAACCCCTAAATGTTCATAAGTTTTGTCCTAAGCACATTTTAATGTAGAGTTTTTGTTCCCCTGGACATTATTACATTATCATTATAAAAAATTCCTGTGTTTCCGTACATATTCATATTGGCCAAACTATTAAAAGAACCCCTTAACTACTCATTTTTGTTAAATAAATCCCTAACTTTGATTTGCATTTAAAATAGTTTTATTTTATCTTAATAATTTTGCAAAGTAACTACACTTTAAAGGTTTATTTGGGCTTCCAATGGACCTGTAAAAGAATTGAATATTTATAGTCAACACTAATACGTTCCTCAATGTTTTAAGTCGATAAAATATTTAGGCAAAACTTAAAATTTAGATAGACAAGATATAGTATAGGAGAAAATACATAGAGTTGTACGTTCTGTGAGAAGCTGACTTGGAACTCAAGATTCTCTATAGATTAGTTCATTTTCCTAAGATTAACGTCGTTAGATTTTATTATCCTATCGATGCGTACCACTAAAGTGGTAGACAGAAGATGAGGGCTTTAAACTCCAGTTAATAATAATAATAATAACATATTAATCTTACGGGCTTTAAACTCCATTTAAAAAGATAATACTATCACTTTACGATATACAAATTATATTAAATTAAAATACATAGATTAAATCTCAAATTTAAGCATAATAGAATGACCAGAATCATAATTTGACCCTTTTTTTCAATGGTTTTGATGCCACTGACAAAAACAAGAGGACCGCATAAAAGAATGATTTCATAGCCTGGATAGGGCAACAGCTTATTGATGTCAATCGTCAATGGTGAAAAAGTATTGTAAACAGTTTTCTCTAAGATAATCTAAATGCACCGCAACATTGTCCAGCAACAAAATAGAATGCTAAAAGGTATTCTCCAACGCCGCATAATAATATCAAGATGTGGCTGATCAAATGCGGAAAATGCCATTGGAAGTCATACACAGCAACCGGATCTTTCAGTTTAATTATCCATGTTTCTCAAGTTCAGCTTCCGCACCCGATATATGTTTCTTTAACGCCGATATCCTTCGCCCGAGTTCTTCTTTTGTTCCTCGGACGATGGCCGGTCCATGCGGTGTGAGGAAATTATGCGAAAATGATTTCAGTGCTTCAACCCCAGTAACCTATATATATATATATATAACCGTACAAAGGTTAATTCATTGAAATGGCTAAATGCCTACCAACATATGCCTAGATATCAATATTCAGATTCAGCAAACTCAAGGCTTATTTACGAAAAAGATGATCGATACGAGGTAGATAACATAATTAAGGACCTGTGCATAGTTAAAAGTAAAAGATTTACATAGAAGTATCCTTGGACTCACCTCTTCTGGCAACAGTGGAAGCTTAATGATGTGAAAATCATCATATAACATGTAAAACTGATCGAGATACTTTTGTTGCATCCGTACTCTTGCTTCTAATAACTTGGACTCGACCTCTTAAAATTAGAACACAGGCCGATCGAATGGTAAGCAGCTCTTTCAAAGGACAATTCCAATGGGAGCGAGGAGAAAGGGAAATGACAGACATAGTAAGAAATCAAATAACCGTACCGTCATCATCGAAAATTACTTGGTTAATGACAAGATTGTGTGTATCTATCTCGAACTTGGTGAGTTCCTGCACCAGTCTCTCTGTTTCATACAGAGAGAGGAACTCTGGGATGCAAACACAGACAAAGGTTGTCAAGTCCTGCCAAAAGGAAAGAGCATTATACCAAACTTTCATTTCGACATACACACACAAATGAAAAGTGAAAATGAATGCTTTCAACACAGTTCATAAGCTCTAGTAGATCTCCAATGGCGCACCTCCAGCTCTTCACTTTCTTAATTTTGGTGTTATATTTCGCAGTATATTGTTCGATAAATACACACATATATATTAAAGAATGTATGGGAAAAAGAATAGAACATGGTATAACTTACTGGGTCTTCAAACTGCTTATTAACTTGTTCAATCACTTCTTTCAAGCCTTCAAGCCTCCCCACAAGTGCATCCTCCCCAAATTCATTATCAATCCCGAAAAGATGGGTTATCTGCCACGATGAGTTTCAACTTACGTGAGAACCTTAAGCCTATCAGCTTTTCATCTAGAGGTCCATTGTTGAGAGAAACCAATTGAAAACCAGCTGAGCTATACCAGGTGACAAGACATGGAAGAATTTAATGTCTTACCTGACCCAATAAGCCACCAAATTTGCTTTTCAACGCCATCACTTTTACAAGTCCCTTCTCTAAGGTAGCCGGAAACTGTAAAAGCCGGAGCGTATGCCCGGTCGGGGCAGTATCAAATACAATGCAAGAGTAATCCATTGTTTGCACCAATCTGTAAGAAAGTATTACATTCAGACAACAATAAGATTAAAAAAAGGTAGGAAGTGACCAAGAGCATGCAAAACAAAGCAACCATCATAGTCAATCTCAAAAGTTTGAAAAGGAATGCATATTTTTCCAATAATCCTAGAATCAACAGCCATTGAAATTTGTTAATAAATAAATGTTCTTACTTAAGCATCTCTGCAAAGCTCATAGCCTCGTCAATTCCTGGAATTGCATTTGCCAAATCCGAAAATAAATCATCCATTCCTTCACCCCCACTCACATCATCTTCTTCTGATGCAGGATCCACCTCCTATCATGTATCAGCCGCATGTCATATTACTATGTAAATCATATAGCAAAATTGTTTTTCGTTTCATATGAAATAAGTTAAAAATGGAGAGTTTTGTGACTGGTTAATCAAGGAAACAAAAAAAATATAAAAACATATAGACCCATGCATACATACACACACACATATATATTATCCTCAAGACCCAGAAAAGAGAATCAAAAGAAAAAAAGGGTACCATGGCATATAGATTGCTGAAGCCATTGACTAACGTGGGTGTCTTTATGAATCTTTGTTGGAAAACATCGCTGAGATTATGAGCAGGATCCGTGGATATAATCAACACAGAGGGTCGGACCCCAGCCAAGAGGATCGATATAACGGCGCTACATGTGGTCTTACCCACACCTCCTTTGCCGCCAACAAAAACCCACTTCAGGTTCTTCTGGTCCAGTATGTTTTGAACCGTCGGCACCGGTAAATCCTGATTGTCCGCCATTCTCCCGTTAACAATTTTTTTTTTTTTTTTGCTTTCTTCCTTTTTGTGTCACCCAAAAACCAATTGGAAGTACACAGAAAATCTTACGATAAAACCGGAGTTATTTGTGGAAAGGCATCATCTTTTAATAACGTAAGACGTGCATGGAATGTTTCATAGTGTATATACATAAATGTTATGTTTGTAATTTCCACGACCTTTACATTCAAATAGAGCTCTTGCTGGTAAATAAATTATCGTTATTTTTTTAAGTTTATGTTCGAACATAAAAAATGTTAGGGACGTAAATGTTTAATATGAAATGATTGAAGATTTATCTTTAGATAAATATTATATTGTACTTATATCAGATTAATAAAAAAAATAAAGTTCTCGTTGATTTTTTATGTATTATGTTCTTTTTCTTTCTTAAGGTATTTTTAGGGTAAATAATCCAAATAGTCTCCTATAATGCATTTTTATAGCGGTAACAAAATAACGAATTTAGTTTTTATATTTATACTTTATTTTAATTTTATCCTAATTTTTAAAAAGATAAACTACACAATTAGTACTTAAATTATTACTTTTGTTCCTTTTTAAAATCTAAACTTTATTTTCTTTTTATAAAAACATATGTAATGTTTAGTTTAGGTTCTATGTTAGTACTCATCATTTAAAAAAAATGTATGTGACATTTTTATTGGTAAATTATATCATTCATCACTCAACTATCTTCTCACTCCTATTTTTGGTCACTAAAGATTATTTTTTTTTATTTAACTATCCAACTTTAAAATTACTCATGTTTTAATCACTCTAATTTTAGCAATTGATTAAAGAGTTTATTTGTAGTAGGTATGAAAAAATTCATTTTTACATACAACAAAGTGATAGTAAAGAGAAGTATAAGCGGAGGAGGTGGCAATAATGGAGGGACTATGGTAGCATTCAAGAGCCTAGCCAGCCAGGCAGTGTTCCATCACACGAGCTAGCGTTCCAAATAGATAAATATTTTTAATTAAAAAAATCGTACATTCTTCCGTCCTGTATGTATGCGTTAGGTTGGTTGGATTGATCAATGTATAATATTAAAATTAGGGTAAACTATTAAATATTCATCAAACTTTTAAGGTGCCTGTATTTTGGTCACCAAACTTTTAAAATTTACAATACAATCACTAAAGCTTTAAATATTTCAAATGAACCTTTGGACATAAATGAATAACCAGATTCCTAGGCTGGTCTACATATAAACCATTAGTTATTTATATTTCACCATCAACACAACTTACGTAAGCTTTAACTTCTCAACCATGCAACTTTAACATTGGATTTGTTCAAGTATATACACACACGCATTTACACACAATTGGGTAGCTAATTCAATGATTTCCTAGGTTTGACCTTAATAACAAACCCGGGAAAAACATCGTCCGGGTCATGAATGTGAGGGTTGTGGTCCACTATAGATGGATCACCACATTTATCGATGATGGAGTTAAGCGTTTCACCTTCTCCTACAACGTAGATTTCATCACAGGCTCGGTCCAAGAGCGGCACCGAACTCATCCCTTTGACATGAATATCCTCATCATCGCCACCGTTCGTTATCGTACAAGCTTCGTTGAAACAGTTTAGTAACAGCAGTAGGGTTACCAACGCGAGAACACAGCACCAACAACATGAAGCTTCCTCAGCTAAAGCTATTAATGCCCGAATCCGCCTCCTCCGACAATGATCGCAAGAAGCCATTGAGAGGAGAATGGAGTGACGATGAATATTGGTACGTAATTTATATAAAGAAGGAAAGAAGGGTGTTTCGGAGGAGGGGCACGAGTGTGGTGTGAGGACCGGTTATGGAGGTTTATTATAATGGTGGGGATTTGAGAGGGAGTTGGGGGTCTACGATTTTTGTATTACGCAAGAGTCACCTTCTTTGTAAGGTTTTATAGAAAAGCAACCCTACAGGACAGAGTTCATGCATGGGGGTTTAAATATTGTTCCTTTTTTTTAAATAAAATTTCTTTAGCTTTGAAAGTTGAAAACACGCAAAGATCTCCCTACCCTGAAAATAACAACAAAAAAATGCAGCAATTGTTTTAGGGTTGAAACAATATGTGAAAAAATATTCTGAGCATCTCTTAGGCCGTGACGGTAAACATTAAGTAGTTTTGGCGGAGATGAGCAGAAGGGAAACGGAAAGAGTTGCCGAGTGTCGACCGCGAGTGAAACGACGTCGTTGGTGAACGGCATTGACAGATCTGTGCAGGAAATTAGAGAGATAGAAGAGGGATTAAGAGAAGGAGAGATGAGCTGTTCCTTTCACTTCAGCACTTCCTCAGTTCCAAATTACTTGCTTGGCTTTCTAGTCCTTCTTTCCTTTTTTTTTCCTATGTTAATTCAAAGGAACATGAAAATTCAAATGTTCTTGGTTAATTTTAGTTTTAGTCACTCTGCTATGCAAAACGTAGAGTTTAAATCTCTTTAATTTAATTTTTTTAATAACACTCCCTTTTTTTCCTCTAAAACAACATCAAACACTTGATGTTTAATCTTCATATATTTTGTCAAAATAGAAAAACTAATATCATGAAAACTAATTTATTCAATATAAGAACATCAAATTAAATTTAAAAAGTTATGTTTGTAAATAAAAGGTATATTTGTAATTATCTCGAATCAAGACAAAATCTTCTTAAATTTGACTCAAATTGACTAATTTAGAGGAAAAAAAACTTATCCAAAACCTAAACTAACAATAATTAAATATATAATTATCCCGGTTTAAGACGGAACAAATTCTTCTTAAACCTAACTTAATCTGATCAATTTTAAGAAGAGAATCTAACCCGAAATCCTAACTTTATAAAAAAAACGAGTCAAAACTTAACAGGTACGAGTTTCTTTTGTTGTCCGTAAATCTACTAATCACATTATTAAAATTGCGAATCAAATAAAAAAATTAGAATAGAGAGATTAAATTTCAAATTTCAGTAAAGTAAAAGGATTAAAAACAGAAGTGAACCGAATTCATTTAATGAATTAAAGCTATAACCGAGTCCAATATGGAGTTCTAAAGAGAAGCAATTATGCGTGTATTATCTCGATTAAACATGTCGAGGAGGGAGATTTCTCCATGTTACTGATTCATTGTTGCCTAAGCAATGTTTTCCTTCAATCTTAGCATTTTGTGCTAATAAAATAGTTGGAGTTCCTTTCAGATTTGATATTGATTTCGGTAGAGTAATTCAACAGAACAAATTTAAGACACAAAATAACTTGGCAAAAGCAGTAATATAAAATCATTAAACCGGAGAGCTTTGCCTTTTATCTTCAACTACAGATCCATCCCCCGTTTCATGGCTTGTAGCAGAACTGGAGACCCTTTTGTAAACCGGTTTGGTGCTGTCACCCTGCAATGGCAAGAGCTTCAAAGCGATCCCCATGGCTATAAGCAGAAGCCCGGTCCCGTGCTGTTCGGTCAACGGCTTAGTGAATATCAAGTAGGACAGTAATAATGTCAATGCCTTCCTTGCGGTTGTAACCATTGCTGTGGTGGCTGCACCAAAAATGGCAATCAGGGAAAGGACCGATATCTGTCCGATGAAAGTGGCCATTGCTTCAAACACTAAAACACCGTACACGTATAAATGCTGCTCAAAACAAGATAATCCTCAAGTTCAACATGGTAGAGCAACTAAAACCATAACTAGACGTTATGTATGTGAATTCTTTTACCTGTGAACATGAATTCCATGCTTTGAATAGTTCCCCCGTTAAAAGCATGGGTGGGATCAAGAATGGCAAACCGACCACCGTCGAGCAGAACAGCATTTCCATCTATGGGGGAAATCATTAAAAGGCATTGAATGTAAAGTCACTGTTTCTATGAGGTTTCACACACATTAAAGCATTAAATCATCACCTGTGTTGTTTCGGGGTTCAATGTGAAGATAGCTTCTTGCAAATTGCCAAGAAACGAATCCATTACTAGAGCACCGGTTATCATCACTACACCGATCACACTGAAGTTTGGGGAAGTTTGGGCATCGGCTAAGGTGAAAAGAATCAATCCCACCACTAAAAGAATTGCCGAAACATATTCGTGTGCAGGATATTTTCGTCGCAAACCGGGTATGAAGGCGCCCATTATCATCACAGGGAGAACCTAAGACATTAAAGGCTAGTTCAACATTTCTGTTGAGATTAAAAAGTGCTTTTCGGTCTCATTACCTTGGTGGATTTGAACATGAGCTGAGCAGGGTAATTGAGAAAAGCTAAAGACCCTTTAGTAAGGCCATGGGAACCCATAAGAACAGCGGAGAGTTTAACATAAGTCTTCCATGGATTCACCATTTGTTTTGGGGTGAAGCCTTGAAGATAAATCAGCAACAGATAAACATATCCTTGAACAAATGTGAAGTACCAGCCATAGCTGAACTGGAGCCTGTTGTATACATATTCCTGCAAAAGAAGCAAACATTTAATTACCAAAATAAAAATAAAATCATATTTAATGATAGCTTGAGAGGAAACCATGCATTAATCATTGATCTAGGAAAGGGAATTCCAACAGGATGATTATCATTACAGATTCATAACAGGTGCAATTTCTTAAAACCGGTTATCATATCAAGAAAATTCTCACAAAAATCACGTGTTAAAATTTGTTTGGTTGCTGGGAAAATGGATTGAGAGACAGAAAACGGAAATATCAAAAAGAAAAAGGGAATCAACTCAATCGTTTTTGTCTATTTGAGTGACTCACATATCCTTTTAACTAGAAGACAAAATCCACGATTAAAGACTTTTCACTTTCTTCTGGCTTTGACGCAGCTTTCCCATCAACCAAACAATAGTATTTTAAAACATGAAAGAGAACTGTTAACAAACAGATATGATTAAAGCAAAAGGAAAATCAATCAATAAAAAAATACCTCGCAAACGCCATTGACAAGGTAGCCAAAGAAGAACCCAGAAGAGCAAAAGAGAAACTGTTTCCATATTGGTTTATCAGAGAGAGAAATCCCAAACAAGGAACGTGCTTGCTCTTCGTTTTTCATAGCTGTCTAAAGTTTTTTTTCACTCACTCTAACCAATAACTTAGAAAGAAAAAAGGTTTTCAATTTAGTGAAAGCTACGAAAACGAAGTCGGATCAACCATGAAAAAACCACCCTTTAAAAACCACTTCCCTTACATGTTGATTTGGTAGCTGTTTGGTTGTGTTTCAGTGCTGTATTGAAGACCAATGATCTGGATTTGCCCAACAGATAGAAAACAGAGCAACGAGGGAGAGGGGTGGATATAATTGCAATAACGGCAAGTACATAAAAAAGGGTGGAATTTGTGTTTTTCTATGTGCTTCTGCACGATAAATATATAGCCGGATTTAGTGTTTTCGCCACCTAACTTTTAGTCTTAGCATTTTAGTCACTACCACCATGGTTTGTGGGTTTAAAAGAAATTAAGGGGATATTAATAATAACTAGCCTTTAAAGGTATACATTTCATTAATTTAATTCTAATTTAAATAAGTCAATAAATTTAATTTTTAATATTTAATATTTGATCTTCATTTAAAAATGAAATTATTTTAATTTTAAAAACTCAAAACTTGTATATTCTAACAATTGAATGATTTTCATTTATAAAATTTGTCAATCTCATCCTCAAACACATCATTATCATCCCGATGAAACCACGTGAACCGCCACCACCACCGTCGGTCTCCAGTCACCGTGCAAGCCCTCATCTCCATCAACAACCATCAATCTTCCACCATATTTCAACTTTCTTGAAACACCACTGCCACCATAATTCAAATAGCACTGCGAAACTAGCATCTTAAATTTGTCAGCAAACAGCCTCTTGATTGTTTTCAGATGTCCATCTCCATCACCAAATGAATCATGACCATGCATAGCTTTTAACAGCCTCACGAGGTTCTCATCTGGCACCTCGTTTCAAACTGCCATAATTATTATTTCGACCGACTTAAACCTACTAAGTTAATATGTCGCAAAGGCGTCCCATATCAACTTTGGGGTTGACACTTCTCTTGCTTCTTTTTAAATACTTTGATTTGTAAGAGTAATTGTTTAACTTTTTACCTTAAAATTTGTGAACATGCATTTATATCATCTGAAATTGGATGACGTTGACCTTACGAATCATGAACATATAAAAGAAAATTGTTGACCGGAGAAAAGATTTCCGATTGTTGAATAGGTTTGGGGACAAATGAAATTGTGTAAGAGACAACATGAATTTTTAAATGGCATAAAACCAAAATTAGCCCCTAAAGTTTACCAACATAGTCATTTTGCCCCTCCCCTTCTATTTTTTTGGAATATTTTGGCCTCCAATAATTTATTTTAGGGTAAAACGACTCCTAATATTTGACAGAATAATCTCATTGATCCTTATTCTTTTTTGGAGCATTTTAGCTCTCAACAGTTTATTTTAGGATAAAAAGTCCCCTATTTAGGAGCATTAGTTGTGTGTTAACTAAAAGTTTTCATTTGTAGAGGGGACTTTTTGCCTCAAAGTGAAACGTTGTGAGCCGAAATGCTCCAAAAAATAAATAAATAATAAAAACCAAAATGACCATCTTGGTAAACGTAGGGGTTATTCTTGGTATTATACATTTCTAAATATCGAAAGTTAAATTTTAAAATTATTTTATATTAGAATTAAACAGATAGAATGCATATATTTTAAATATTAAAATTATTATTATATCACATCACATCATTATCTTCGTTAAAGTTTTAACGACCTAGACCAGAATTAAATGAGAACATAAGATTGGAATTAAAAGCCTAGTGATAAAAATAAAAATACAATAATAATGGAATGATTAAATAAGTGGTCTATCCTAAAATTAATATCTCGGTATTCATGGCCAAACCTTTTGTACAATTTAGGTTTTTTATGATTGATTTAGGGTTTGATTTAATCACTGTTAAAAATGGGCTTAAAGAGATCGTTGATGATGGTTGTTGCACTGGATTGTTGGTGCTTTTCAAGAAGATTTTTAATTATATTTTTTGAATAATAATAGAGCGGTGTTTATTTGTGGTCCATTAAATATCCAGAAATTCATTCGTAGAATTTATTTCCCTAACTTTCCAGTAAAATCTCACATTTGGTCTTCTTAAAAATGATATGATCCTCCGATTAGATTACTATCCGTTTCAATTTCACAATTCTCAAATTACTTTGTGCAACAAGTTGTTGTAAATTTCCAGAATTACCATCCAACGTATTTGGATTTTAATCTTAATATTTACGATGATTGCAACTTTTTCTAAGAAAAAAAAAGGTCGGAAGAATTAGAAAGAGACCCCGGCCGAGCAGAGATATGGTGACATTTTGTTTTCATTTATTCCCATTAGTTGCTTACTGGGATTCTTCCATCGAGATACTTAGCCAAATCAACTAGTTTCATCTTCTACACCATTCCAACTGCTTCTTCACTTGCCCCTTAAGCTATAAAGAAATTTTAAGTAACTTTAGGGCTTTTAAGAAATAAATAATATGTTCATAAATTATTAATTGTTTAATGATCGATCGAGATTAATGTATATCGGTGAAAGATACGGGTCTCTCTAGTTTTAGAAATTTTAAGTAACTTTAGGGCTTTCATGTAAATGTCGTGACGTCAGCGTTTGATTTTACTGTTCAAAGGGTTAGGTTAAATTTTTTTTTCCAACTTTAAGGATCACATTGGTGCAAAAAACGTTCAGGAACTAGATTAATTATTTTTTCCAAAAGTTTGAGGATTTCAATTACCACTAAACATATTTTTTTATGTTAATGAAACTTCTTATATGCTCTTGCTTATAGCAATGCTTTTCTGTATTTTTTAAATTTAATCAATGTCTAATATGCATTCATACTATTTTCTTCTTATCAACTAAAATAGATTTGGGGTTATAGAATTTATTATCAACTTTATTATTTTATATTTGCATAACTCATGTTAGATTTATATAATGAATTTTTTAATAATTATAGTTTAATTTAATTATTTAAAAGCTATTTGTGTATTTCTATTTTAAAAAATTAGATACCAAATACAATTTTACTATTTTAGTTTTGGATTCAAGTTTTCATTTATAACATGTTTTCTAAATTTCAAAAAATAGAAAATAGAAACTAATTTTTAAAAACAAAAATATAAAATATTTTCTAGGACCAAATCGACCCTACATTTCTTAAACAGCTTGTTTGTGGTTGCGATAACCCTGCAATATGCAAATTTAAAAGAAAAATGATTAACTAAATGGTTAATATTCATAACTACTCTACTACTATAAAATTTAACTATTGAATTAACTATTTATCATACCTTGTTAGTTCCATGAACATAATCACGGTACGTATAAACAGATGCAAAATTGCTTTTGGCATTGTCTCCCAACAAATGATGAAAATCATGATACTTTGCTCCTCCATAAAATGGGATCAATTTGGTGGGATTCCAAGGAAGGTCATACCTGCATAAATCAAAGAGTTAACCTTACAGCACTAAACACCATGATTCTCTGCTATTCGCAGTACACATAGACTAAAGGTTTAGGGTTCATGCTAATTAAGTTACCCGCTATGGGTCTCCATGCCTTCAACTTGGCGCAGGGCTGACCACAGCCACAGTGTGATCATATGGCATGGGACCATGGCTGGACCGAGGAATGTTGGGATTCCCAAAATTACGATTTCTGCTCAATGGACGTACGTATGGTGCTGCAAACATTATGGGGGCACTGTATTCATGGTACACGTAGTGGATATTTTCGTAGCCCCATTTGGTATGCAGAATGCGATGGATCCAAATATTTAGTGATGATAGATAATCAAATATAAATCACGTGGGACAACTTGCATGACTGAGTAGACATAATTCCAACTGCGGTAGGCATGATAAACTAGCTTTGAAGGGTGACGGCTGCATGAGGAATACCAAAGCATTGGGACTTCTACAATAGTTTTTCAAGATAAACTCATACCATAAGTAGATGAAGAAATTATGTAATGAGTAATGATTCAATTTTCAATTACTTTTATTTAAAATTTCAGTTATAATTACTATTCCATTTTTTAAAATATATAAATAGTCACGAAGCCAAGGTCTTTTTATCACCACCCAATATCCAAATTATATCAAAATAAATAATAAGGATTAAATTCGAATTTGAGTACCACATATGGACATAAAACTATAGTTTAGCCTTACTTGAATTTAGTTTAAAATACATAAATAATTATCCTATTTTAAAATTTACTCCAAATTTATGGAGCGTTCATATTTTTATTTGCATTCAGACGAGTCAAAGTAATTATTAATTTGAAGAAATGGAACAAATTCATAAGGCAACTTGCCTGATGATTTGCATGTGACGGGTTTTTCTATCTCTTATAAGGAAAGTGACCATCCAGATATGCTAGTTTGAACGTTAAAACTAACGTCTAAAAAACCCTAAAAATCAGTTATCTAATATATATACACAGAAGCGTCTAGAGCTAGTAAATGTGAGCTTGAGTGTGAAAAATAACAATCTTCCCCATACACACATGAATAGCAAGATGGCTATCTCGGTTGAATCCTACACAAACACTCTATGTGCCGGTGTTACTGTTTTACTTGTGGATGCTGATTCAACCTGTCTCACTATCATATCAAAAATGCTTCGCACCTCTGGCTATCAAGGTATATATTTGAGTTGTTAATTCATCCATCATCACTTCTTAATTGATCTGCTAAAAGTTTTTGCTTTGAGTTCCCTTGCAGTTATTACGGCTAAACGAGCAACCGATGCATTCTGCATAGTACAGGATCGAGAATTCAAAATCGACCTTATCCTAGCAGAAGCTTGCCTGCCTGATATGGATAAATACGAGCTGCTTGAGACCATAAGGAACATGTCTGGCATTCCTATTATTCGTAAGCAGTTTCCTTGTCTATAGTTCCTACAAAGATTCCTTTTCTGATGGTATTTTATTTATGGTTGTTTGTTAACCTCGTACGCAGTTATGTCGGCTGATTACGACAGGAAGGCCGTGCTAGGTAGCCTCTTTAAAGGTGCTAGGTTATACATGGTCAAGCCAATCACCATGAATGATGTCAAGAACCTGTGGCAGTTTGCAATCCTTAAGAAACGGGAAAATGTACCGACCGCGGATGAGAATAGCGGTATCGAGGATGCATCGTCCAAGGAGAGTGCAACGGGTGTTGGCGAGAGGCGGAATCTCCGAAACGTGAAAAGGAAAAGATCGGATGAAACGCAAGACGATAAAGAGGAAGACAAGGATGGTTCTGTCATTCAAAAGAAGCCAAAGCTAATCTGGACTGATGAGCTGCATAACAGATTCCTCCGAGCCGTCGAAATGCTTGGTATTGACGGTAAGCTTTTAGACTTGAATTCCGAAACCATATTTTTGTACTGTAATGTTAGCTGGTCTCAGTTATCATCTTTTTTCCAGAAGCTCATCCAAAGAAAATACTTGAGCTTATGAATGTCCCAGGACTTAAGAAAGGAAATGTTTCAAGCCATCTGCAGGTAAATTATCCTAAGGTTGCTAAATCAACATCATTTTAGACGGGTAATTAGATTTATCTTAACGTTGGTGTTGCAGAAATATCGTCTATCTTTGAAACGGAAGCAGGAAACAAGTCAGAAGACAATGGACACAGGTTCCACTGTAGAACATGTCGCGTCTCATCATGTTTTGTCTGAATTGGATCCACGAGAAGGGTTTCATTATTTTTCAGATACGCAAACAATGGCGGTAGCAAAGCAACAAGATGTTATCATCAACGGCCTAGCTCAGGAGAATCTTAATGGTTACACGCCTATTCCTTACACAGATTGTGAGCAGACAAATAACCAAGGGATGGAACGTTTTCAACAGATGGAGAATTCAGCACAAGTTCTAATGGCGGAAACTGATCTTTTCAACAACGGAGATTATGGTTCAACTCTGTTTGATGATGTCTGGTTGTTCCATTAGTTCCAGTTGTCCAGATATAGAATTAAAGACATACCCCGGTTTGCTTTATGAAACCAAAGTGTTTTTGAACCACAGTTGAGAGTTAATTTTAAATTGGAATCATTATAAATTTAAATTATGATATTCTCACTAAAATAATTGATACTATTAATAATGTGTTATTTTTCGTTAGAGAACCTTGCAAAATGAATTTTCAGAAAAGATTACTTCCTTTATTTGTGAAATATTTTATGAATCAAACTCTCATAAGAGATAAGTTCATTTCTTATTATTATGTATTATTCTTCAATCATCATACGACTATACATGTGACTATACACTAGTTACTTCTTGAGATTCTTCCATGGAGATACTTCGTCAAATCAACTAGTTTCATTTTCTTGAGCCTCGACCATTTCAAGGGCTTCTTCACCTGTTCCTTAAGCTATACAAAAATTTAAGGTGATGTTAATAATTTTTATGGAATTAGGATTTATTTACACTAAATTTTTATATTGTATATATATTTTCGGATTGGTGGATTAATTAAGTTTAATAACAAAAAATGAAAATTTTAAATTGAAGGTATCTTTTTATTCTTTTCTTAATTATTTTTTTTGAAAAATATTTGTATTTTTTTATTTTTTACTATTAAACATGATTTATCATTTTCACTCATCTAATAATCTAAAAAAAATTACATTGTCTAAACTAATCCAAGTGATCTAAAAATTAAGTTACAATAACTTTAGTGGTCCTTTCCCTTCTTGGTCCACTAATGCAACCGATGTATTGCTCCACGAAAATTCATTTTCCAGGCTATTACCGGAAAACATTGGAGTCTCTGTTGGGGAAAACAGGTTATTTCTCACACGAATGTAGTTTTAAAATTGACTTAAAATGTCAATATTAAAACCACCAAAGGTTGCACAACGGATAAACCTGTCAAACTATTGAATATTGAAACACAATGGAAAAGAACCGAATAAAAACAATAAAGGAGAGAACACACCAAATTTACGAGGTTCGACGAGAATATCGTCTACTCCTCGGGCACCACACCGGATGATAACTTCACTATATCGCCAATATTACAACAAATGGAATTCTTTAGAATTCCCAAAGTAGGAGAATGAAGAATACAAGAGGAATAGAGAACTTGTTTTTTTTTGGGATGATTTCTAATGGAAATACTTAGGCCTATTTATAGTTGAGTTTTAAGAACAATATGTTCAAAGTTTGGCCACCTACCAAAGAATTTTCCAATGTGTACAAGTTAGTCACCAAATATTAAATTCACATGTTCAAAGTTTGGCCACCAACCAATATGAAATTTCCAACTTGTCAACTTAATTTCTAGACAAATCTAACAAATCTCCACCTTGGCTTGAAATTACCAAGCCTACTCAACTTCTTCAACTCCCCAAATTTGTAGTGCCTCTAATTGCGCTCACAAGCGCCACACACCCGAAGGTGTTCATACTTTCAGGATGTTAATCAAGTTCAAACAATGATTGAACTTGATTACTGTTACCACCTTGGTCATCATATCTGCAGGATTTTCTGATGTCACAATTTTCTAAAGTATAATCTTTCCTTCTTCAAAGATCTCCCGCACAAAGTGACACCTCACGTCGATATGCTTAGTCCTTGAATGGTAGACTTGATTTTTTGCTAAGTGAATAGCGCTCTGACTGTCACAATAGAGACTAATGTGACTTTGAACAACTCCCAAGTCTTCCATCAACCCGTTAAGCCAAATTGCATCCTTTGCAGCCTCTGAAACTGCCATATATTCTGCCTCTGTAGTAGACAAGGCCACCGTAGATTGCAATGTAGACTTCCAACTTACTGGGGCTTTAGCAAGAGTAAACAAATACCCAATAGTTGATCGACGCTTATCCAAATCACCAGCATAATCGGAATCAGCATATCCAACCACACACTGACAAAGTGCTTCATCCTGTTCAAAAACTAAACCAACATCCACGGTTTGTTGGAGATACCGTAAAATCCATTTCACAACTTACCAATATCTTTCTCCAGTATAATGCATGTACCTGCTCACAACTCCAACTGCTTGTGAAATGTCAAGACGCGTACACATCATTGCATACATCAAGCTCCCAACTGTATTAGCATATGGAACTTTTGCCATATACACTTGTTCTTCGTTAGTTTTAGGAGATAATTAAGAACTAAGTTTCAAATGAGAAGCTAATGGGATACTTACATGTTTGATATTTTCATTCATGCCAAAACATTCTAATACATTTCTCAGATACTAGTTCTGTGTTAAACAAAGCTTATGTGTTAAACAAAGCTTCCCTCTCTGTCTATCTCTGCTTATCTCCATACCAAGAATCTTCTTGGCCTCACCTAGATCTTTCATCTCAAACTCTTGATTCAACTGAGCCTTTAATTTATCTATCTCTTTTTGACTCTTTGAAGCGATCAACATATCGTCAACGTACAAGAGAATATAAATGAAAGATCCATCTTTGAACTTTTGTAAATACACACAATGATCATATTTGCTTCTAGTATACTTTTGCCTCCTCATAAAGCTATCAAATCACTTGTACCACTGCCTCGGAGATTGCTTCAATCCATATAGCGATTTGTTCAGCTTACAAACCCATTTCTCACAACCACCATCTTTGTATCCTTTTGGCTGAGTCATATAGATCTCCTCTTCTAAATCACCGTGCAAGAAAGTTGTCTTTACATCAAGTTGAGCTAGCTCCAAATTCAACTGTGCTACCAAGGCCAACAATATTCTAATGGAGGAATGCTTCACAACAGGGGAAAATACTTCATTGTAGTCGATTCCCTCCTTTTAAGCGTAGCTTTTAGCTACCAACCGTGCCTTGTAGCGAACATCTTTCTTGCTATGAGATCCATCTTTCTTTACAAATACCCACTTGCATCCAATGGCTCTTTTATCTTTCGATAATTGTGTTAGTTTCCAAGTGTTGTTCTTTTGGAGAGATTGCATTTCTTCATCCATGACACTTTTCCACTTATCACTTTCTAAGCTTTGTATTGCTTCTTGGTAAGTGATAGGGATATCATCATCAACAACTAGAAGAGCATAGGCCACCATATCAACAAATCGAGCAGGTCTACGAATTTCTCTCCTTGGCCTTGTAACTGCAAGTGGTTCTGGTGTCTCCAATGGTTCTTGGGTTTGAACCTCTTCATCTTTTGATTCTTCTATTGGAGTTGAAGAATCAGCTGCATCAACTTCTGGGATCATCGTCTGCTGAAACTCTACCTGTTTTGGAGTATGCTCCACTTGCTGTAGAGTACTACTTGTCTGGACAGCTTCACTTATTACCTTCTTTACTAGGGCAGATTCATCAAATGTAACATCTCTGCTACAAATTATCTTCTTGGTGTCTAAACACCAAAGGCGGAATCCCTTCACTCCATGGGTGATTCCTATAAAGAGAGCCTTCTTTGCTCTCGGATCAAGCTTGGATTCCTTCACATGATAATAAGCAGTGGATCCAAATACATGTAAGGAATCATAATCAGTAGCAGGTTTTCCAGACCATACCTCCAATGGTGTTTTTCCTCCTATCGCTGATGACGACAGACGATTGATGAGATGGCCAGCATATGTCACAACCTCAGCCCAAAATGCCTTGCCTAACTCAGCATTAGACAACATATATCGAACTTTTTCCAATAGTGTTCGATTCATACTCTCTGTCACCCCATTCTGTTGTGGTGTATGTCTAATAGTGAAGTGTCGAACAATACCATACTCATGGCAAACGTCAAAGAATGGGTCACTTTTATATTCCCCTCCATTGTCCGTCCTAAGACGTTTGATCTTTCTACCAGTCTGGTTCTCGATCATATTTTTCTATTTCAGGAAAATTTGAAGCACTTCATCTTTAGACTTCATCGGATACACCCCAAACTCTTCTGGAAAAGTCATCTACAAAAGTTACAAAATAATGGTTTCCTCCCAAAGACGATGTCTTTGAAGGACCCCATACATCTGAGTGAATACAATCTACAATACCTTTTGTATTATGTATAGTGGTGTCAAACTTCACTCTCTTCTACTTTCTAAGAACACAATGCTCGCAAATGTTCAATTTGCAAGCCTTTGCACCTTTCAACAATCCTTTCTTTTCCAGAATTTGCAAGGATTTCTCTCCAGCATGTCCCAACCGCATATGCCACAACTGGGTTGCGTCCAAATCATCACATCCGGAAGATGTTACAATTGCTCCAATAATTGTACTACCTTGGTAGTAATACAAATTATTTTTCCTGATGCCCTTCATCATCACAAGTGCGCCATATGTGACTTTTAAAACTCCATCTCTCATAGTGACTACTGAGCCTTTGGATTCCAATGCTCCCAACGAGATGAAATTTTTCTTCAAACTGGGCATGTATCGGACATCTGTCAGAACTCTGGTTGATCTATCTTGATTCTTAAATGGAATTGAACCTATCCCAACAGTTTTACAGGCATTGTCATTTACCATATAAACAACTCCTGCATTTAGTTCCACTAAATCGGAGAACCACTCTCGATTAGGGGACATATGATAGGTGCAACCCGAATCTAATATCCACTCATTGGAATGGAATATTATTGATGAAGCAACCAATGATATATCAGAGTCATGTGAATCATTCTCTGCAACACATGCATCTGGAGCAGCTTTTCCTTTCTTCTTCAGCTTCGGACAATCTTTCTTCTAATAGCCTTTCTCATGACAAAAGACACTTTCATCTTTTCCCAGTCTGGACTTCGACTTTGATCTCCCTCTCCACTTTGGCTTTTGACTTTTTGAGCGACCTCTTTCCACCATGGTCTCCGCTACTTCGTACTTGCTCTCCTTCTTGGTTTTCTTCCTGAGTTCATAACTATACAAAGCAGTAGTTACATCTTTAAGGGTAACATTATCCTTACCATGAAGTAACATTGTCTCAAGGTGCTCAAATTCATCTGGAAGAGATGACAACAACATCAAAGCCAAATCTTCATCTTT